CGATTATCGGTCCAAAGATCTGGAAACTAGCTCAATATGATGTTATCAGTCAATTTAAAAGATAGTGTATTAACTACCCAATCAAGCACAGTTTATGCTGATTTAAAATCAAAAACAAATAATTTATTTTGACACAATATGAATGTATATATAAAAAAAACGTATGTGTCTTGTACTCTTAGTCGGTCGCAGTACAATAGTCGAACCTGTCTTTTAAAGAAAAAGCTTTCCCTGCTCGGTGCCGCACCAAACAGACAAAACTTTGAAGGCAGTAATTTTCTCAAGTGGGCGTCTATTGCACCCACCGAGTACTGTGTTACCTATCTGCCTTCGGACTGCCCGAGCTAGACCTACTAAAATCCTCTGGGCAGTCACTATTCCCAAAAACGTATTATGTTTCAATCCACACCAATGAATCACGCTCTTTTTAATTTAGACTTAGTGTCGCGAATATCCGAGTTCGGACCTGTTCTGTATTAGTCTGGTTCTTATTGGAAGGCAAGTTACCAGTGCAGTCACTGATACCTAGCCTGTGTGCTAATAACCTAATACCTCTCACTTTTTAGTCTTTCTTTCGTCTACCTAAGTCCTTAACTAAATAATACCCCTCCGGACTGGCACAAATAGGAGCCTTCCGGATTGATAGAATCTAGACCCCTCCGGATTTGGACCCCTTTGAGTTGGTTACTATAGGACCCCTCCGGATTTGGACCCCTCCTAACTTGACCCCTCCGGATTGAAGTTAAGCTTCTTATTTGACAATTCACGCTAACGGTAAAGGGTCTTATTGCTGGCCTAACTTCGGCTCGATTAAGCTTTTGCTGTGCCCTTAGCCCTCCCTTTTGGTCTAGAATGGCCTAAAGTTACTTTATTCAACCGCTATTACCTTTTGGTAGGGGTCTAAGGGTTTTTCAGAAAAATTTATAAAACGTGAAGTGTGTACCCCTCCGGATTTGTGTAATTTGCTAAAAACAATCTCAAAAAATTTTCTCGCTCGCTTTTTCGAGTAATTCTCTTTCCTACTAGTAAGCTCAGCTAATCTCTGATCTATTGGTACCAAGATCAACTCGATATGCTCTGTAGTTTCAAAGTTATTAACCAAAACGTCTTTTTTCCAAACTCAAAAATTTTCTCTCTTATAGGTTCCGCCTAACTTTTTCCGCAAATCTGGTCCTTTCGACCTAAAAATTATTGATCTGAGCTCAGAAGGCCTATACTCTTCTAGTTCAATGCAAAAAACCCGATCTAAAACGCTTTTGTAGAAAAAATTTGCGAAAAACTATGCTACCTGGACCCCTCCGGATTGATGAATCCACCAAATCAAACACGTTATGTTCGATTTCTCTGCAACCCCGAAGGTTTTTGGGTAGCGGGTTTCAAAACTCGTAGATTCACTAGTGGACGTTGTCCGAACAACTATTTTTACTGTCCTAACTCAAAGATTTCAAAAAATTTTCTGATTTTATAGTGTTTCTTACTATCAAAAAATGGGAAAATTTGGTTTTTGGTACCAAACTAGTTCCAACCACTTCCGAACTAAAGTTAACCGGTTCTACTTATTACAGTAGTGCAGTTACTATGTATCACACTAACTTAGCGCTTTTTTCCGTTTCAAAAAATATCGATATCTCAAAAATCGCGACTTGTGGGGGGATCAAAATATCGCTATTTTGACCCTAAAAACCGGTCTATTTTCGTTGTTTTTCACTGAAAAACGATATAAGACTATTAATATAGGCTATATAAGTAATAATATTAGTAATACTATACCCCTCCGGGTTTGTTTATTATCCGAATTAAGGTGCTTAACTCGGATATTCGCAGTTCGGTGAAGGGTCACTACAGTGCAGCACTGTCGAGCCCCCCACAGATTACTATCTTACTTTTTGTACCAAAAGGGATACAAAACTCGTTAACGATACCCAACAGTCGATTGTTGTTGTCGTTGAGCCCCTTCTTGTTGCTCCTTGTACTGCTTGCCGGATCGGTCTTCACCCAGGACCCTTCCGAATTGAGCGCAAATCAGCTGACCCTTCCGGATTGAGCGCAATTTATCATTAACGTGCTTAAATGCTCAAATAACCCTACAGTACAAGCCTCACAAACGGGCCACAAAATTGATCGTAACGATCCTGACTGATATAAATGCCTGTAACAACAATATATCTATCAACAACAAACGGGGGGGTTGAATCACATCTTGTCTGGGGGGATGATTTCTACTGATTTTTTACTTTTTTACTGTTTTTGGTTTTTTCGATTATTTTTTATGTTTTTTGTTTTTCTTGGGTACTATACTATTTTTTGTTTGGTTTTACTTATATCTTTAAGTGTTTTTGGTCACCAACCACTCAGGGGACGAGGAGACGGCCGATCCCCCCACCCTTCCTGGTTCGTGAATTTTCGGTCTTAACTAGGTTAAAAAACTATTCACGGCAATCCGGAAGGCCTCCGCGTTCCGAACTACCCTTCCGCCCCGGCGGTTTAGGCCTATTAAGGGCGTTAATGTGAGCATCCGCTCGGCGCGGAGTGCTCGTTAACGGTTCCGCCGTCATGATGTTATAAAAGAATAACACCCAGGAGCGCCATAAAAACATACATGTAACATTCGCCCGGAAGATACATATCGACGGATAACAAAACTAAGTCTTAAGACGACTGGCTAGCGTTTAAACAGAGCTTTGCATGTTTTTCACCGTCTCTACCAAGCCAGTACTTTTCGGTGGTCTTTCTTACATCAGGTCGACAAAAACGTTACTGTTCTCCGGCTTCGACCAGAACGCTCAAACTAACTGAATTACATGCAAAATTAGTGAGCTCATGGCTGGGTCTCAGTATCCCCAGACCACGAGGTCACTCCTAAAAACAGGGCTACTACTTATTATATTACTATTGTTTTTGTTCAGTAGATAAAAACCATCATCTCCATCGAAGATGGATCAACCCTTTCCCCCAACTCCTAGCACCTCATCCTTGTCAAAACAATCAAAATATCAGTTAAATTCAAGTCAGGACATGACAGGATGCTAAAAGTTTATGTGAGTTAATAAAAGTTTCCGTCCCGAGACCCTTCCGGATTCTTGAATCCGCTGAATCAAGCTCCTTACTCTTGATTTCTTGCTAATCCGGAAGGCTGGTTCTCACCCTTCACCGTTGTTGGCAACGGCCTTGCAACTATTGTAGCAGCACAATAGTTGCAACTTGGAACGTTCTCCGCTATTCTGTAGTTCGTTGTCGTTTTTCTTTAATCTCGATTTTCGTTCTGTTCGCAATCACAGATAAAAGTTGTTCTGTTTTTCACTCGCTTTTTGTTAAAATGGCCGTTTCAGCATTTCTCAGAAATGTGACGTCATCATTCGAATTTTTGAAAATTTAAAATACTAGAATATTCTAGCCCTCACGGTTTGGCTAAACGTTCCAATAACGTCGCTAATCCTTCGAAATCATCAGCTCGGAAGGCTTACTGCTCAAAATTCGAATCCTGCATAAATTGCATTTTGGCCATTCTGGTCGAATGTCACAAATGCAAAAATTTAGGCCTTATTCTTGATTCAAGTTTATCTTCTCATGCTCAAATCAAAACAATTCTCCAAAAAATGGCACAAGGAATTAAAACTATAGAAACAATTGGACAACAACTGCCGACATTATCATTAGTTGCCTTGCTTCATTGTCTTGTTTTATCACATTTAGATTATTCAGCAATATTTTTAATACAAATTAATGCTACTTTGATGCTATCTCTAGAGAAACAGTTGAACTGGGCGTTAAAAAGATTATATTTCAGATCGAAATTTAAATCTTCTTCCCTTCTTCGCATTAGCAAATCGTTCATTGGAATCGAGAAAAGAATTGAGTTAAAGTGTATAACATACTTATACCAATATCTTACAAACAAAAAGAAGGCTTTTCAAAATACATTGAGACTACCGACTGCCAATTATAGGCTCAACAAAAGAACGAAACAAACTAGTTTTGACAAACATTGTTCAACCGCTTCTCTACAAAAATCATTTTTTCATTTGACTTCTAAAAAATGGAATTCACTGCCCATAATTTTGCGCAATTTAGAAAAATCGAGAACAGGATTCAAGAAAAAATTGAAAGAATTTTACGTGAGTGAATTGAGAAACAATCCAATATGTACAAATACAAATACGTGGGGTGATTTCCGGTTTTGCTAAATCTATGTTTTAATTTAGTTTAATTTTCCAGACATTGTTTGAAAGAGAATCTGTATATACTCTGTATATACGCTGTATGTTTGGACTATCTATAAAATTGTTTGTAAAGTTAAAATACCAGCTCGTTCGTAATTCTTGAAACTGATGTTTTTTTTTAGTATCCGTAACTTCATATATTTTAATCAACTAATTTCTGAACTGTAACCGAACTTGTTTTGTTTTGTTTATTGCTTGTTTTCTGATGTGTTTTTGTTTGATGTAACCAATGAATTTTAACCAACTTTATTATTTACACTTTGCTATACTGATGCCTCGGCTTTTATTGTATAGTAATTCAGGTGTTCTTTCTTCTTCTTCTTCTAAAAAATTGTTCTTGCTATGTGAAACATTCGCAACGAGAAAATGGAAATAATCAGTGTGAAATTTTGAACTAAACTCAGACGTTTCTTACTTATTCACGCGAAGTGGAAAACTTAGTGCAGATAAGGAAAACGGGCATTTTCAAGTCCGGGTTACATAAGTAAGTCATTGAATCCAAATATTGATACTTTAACAGATGGTAGCTCTGATCATTTGCTCTCGGTCAATGTAAAAATTTTACTGAATTTCGAAGGACTTTTTGTTCAAAATGTACATTAAAAACAGGCATTTTACAGTAAAAAATCTAGAATCTGCACTTAATTCTCTCCACTAGTGTATAAACAGACAAACCAAACCCAGTAAAAAAAACTTGAAAAGCAGTAGAGAAATACTTTCAGACGAGATTGGGTCTGACTTTCCTGTTTGTTGTTGTTTGATACAGATTATTGCTTCTACAGATTGTTGAATGTCAAAGTTATGCCGGACTCTGAGCAAAAAGGAACAAAAAATCAGAAATCACCTCCGAAGCCAATTCCTGCGAGTAAGATGAAGGTTCCAGCAGATATTATAGACAAGTCCCTTGGCTCACTTAATCAGCAGAACGATTTTATTACTCTGTACAAATTAACTAAACTGAAGCGTTGCTATGACCTAATGCCTACAAGCTCAAAGTTGGTAATATTTGACACACAACTTCACGTGAAGAAGGCGTTTCACGCTCTTGTGTATAACAACGTACGAGCAGCACCTCTTTGGGACAATGAGAAGCAAAAGTTCGTGGGCATGCTGACTATTACAGATTTTATCCGAATATTGATTTGCTACTATAAATCAGAAGTTCGTCTATCACTCAAATTTCATTTACAAAAAAAACAGGATAGGCGGTTGCGGTGCAAGTAGCACAGAATGTTCCGACCACACCTCATTCCTATCAATTCTTCGAAAAGTTTTTTTTTAAGTTTGTCTTTTTTAGTGCGTGGTGTGATTAGGTATAGAAATAATAAAACACAGAATGACAAAACAGAAAAGTAAAAATTAGAAAATATTTATTTCCTAAAAATTAGAAAATATATTTCTTCTAACGACGGAGGCTTAATTATTGTGCAGAACTTTATCAGGCACTTTTTTCCAAACCGCGGCAATGAAATTCCGCCGCAGAACTAACCCAACAAATACTGCAACAAGCGATTCCAGCTCAACTACGAAGACTGTCGAATGATTTCGGGACTTAATTTTTCTTCAGTGGTTTGCGTTCAAGTTTCTGGAAAAAATCAGTGTTTCACAAAAAGGTGCTTCCTACAAAAGTGAAAAACGTGAACACCATTGCGAAAGTAATTTTCTCGAAAAAGTTATATATATATATATAAAAAATAAACATGACATTGATTTGAATACAATTATTCATAAAAACAAATCACGAACGAGACAAGCAACACGTGGTGAGATTGCTGTTCATGCAACAAGACTGAAAAAGTCAAATGAAAATTATTATATACGTTCTAATACGCTATACAACTACTTTAGCCAAATTGTGGACTTCGAAAATCAAGATTATGACAGCCTGAAAATATCTATAACAAACACGTTTTGGAAATTCTTCAACAGAAATTTTGCAGAAAACAACTTGTGTATGTGGAGAATTCTTTGCTGGTGTGGAAACTGCAACCCACCGGGAAAAATTATGAACTTATAAACGAGGGTTCAAAACCCATGGAGAAATCCTTAAGCCTACACTACTACTACTACTATATATATATATATATATTTTTTTTTTTTGCTCAATAATTTTTAAATCTTTTTTGAAAATCTTTATTGCCAAGGAAGCGCTAAATGAATTGCGTTTTAGTACAACCGATAATTCTCAGCTTAAATGACCCATTTTGATATAAGAAACGTTACTTGGTTGCTTTATTCGCTCAAAGCCCGACTAAAACAACGATTTCCGACGGTTTTTTTCGCATTAGGACAACTTTTTAGAAATTTGGACTGATAGGGCTTTCATTTGATATATCACTCACGCCATTCAGATGATTATGTGGTACCTGATGTTGCGTGGAAAACAAAGAAAAAGCACCAGAATACAAATTTCCTCTCCATTTTCAATGGTCGGAACAACAAAGCAACAACATATAGGAATAAAATGATTTGCAAAAGAACTGATCAAAGAAAGCGACAGTCAGTCGAGGAAAGGCGCTTTGTTGAAATGTGTATTCTTCCCCGATTCAAAAAGTTACTTGTACATAAATTAAATGATATATCATGTGATAAGGAAACCCCCGTGAGTCCTAATTTAAATTCGGAGGGAAACTGTAATCAACTTGCCATGCAAAAACACTATGTTCACTGATGAATGCACTAGAGATAATTCAACGTTTATCTCAAAGTTTGTAGCCCATAATTAGGAGATACAACTTATAGGAAGTCAGTGAGAAACTCTTGATTGCCTTTTTACACAAACGAGCTATCGAGTGTAGTGTTATATTACGAGTCAACTTTTTCCTCAATACGCAAATAAAAGTGGTCATTTGTTGATACTTTTGCTGCATACCATTGACAATTTAGTAGCACAAGTAGCTGCCGTCCGTACTGGGCTAGTGTTTGAGTATTTTCAAGCGACCGTGGTGTAGATCCGAGGACTTGAGATTCCTATTATTAGAAGCAAAATTTTTCAATGCATGATTTTGCAAAGTTCGACTTCGCCTGTGAAATTTTTTGATTTTTCATTGATCGACTTTACTCATTGAGTTTTATCCGGCTTAGTTTTTCATTATTTGTTTGCTTCATTCCATTTTGGGAACGGTCGAACATATTTCTACGCGCTATGTGAGCTGAAGGTTTAGCAGCTACATGAGGGGACATTTCATACACTGATATTATTCGGATCTGTTGGTCTGACTAAACGGTTGACTATAATTGATGCGCACAGTTGACTATAAATTGCCGCGCTCGATTGCCAACAGTGCAATTATTTACAGTTTTTTGTCAAACTTGGCAAGTACCAGTTAAGTGTAAAAGAACGGAGTGGTTTTCACCTCAATAGTTTTTGATGCTTTTTTGTTTTGTTTTGAACAGCGAGAGTGAAAAGGTCAGCTAAAACGTGACGAGTAACTTCTATTTTCAAAAATGGAATTTTATTTTCTGAATTCTCAGCGGTAAAAAATAACCTATCGATCCAGTCATTTAAATGCAACATTATTACGAAATATTAATAGTAAAAACAGTTTGAAGTTCAAATAGTTTAAACGATATATTTTTTTTTCTTCTAGATTTGAAAAAATGTTCAAAAAGTTTCCTTTTTTCTTTCTATTGGATATATTTCAGTATTGGCGAACATATCGAACCTCACGAGAGTTTCTTTTCTTCTTTGAAGTTCACGCCAGGATTGGTTATTCCTTTACTATGTAATCTCAGAGCTTTAGCATGCAGTTGTTTGAAGCCCATTCTATATTGATTTGCTTTAAACTGAATCAGTTGATGAGAGTTCCACAGCCTTTTCGCGTTTGTTGTTTTCACTGTTTCCTGAAGTATGCGAATGTTGTTTGATTCTGAAGCTTATGTTCTGCACGCTTTTGAAGATAGTTTCTGAGGTAGAAATGTTTTGCCGGAATATCATTGTTCTTGATCAAGAAGAATTTCGATTTCACTGTTTAACTTCTCCATGTTTGTCATTTCAACAGAGTCAGTTATAATTCTAAGTGCGTGTTCAGTTGAAAATCGCTGCTTATTTGCTCACGGTACAACTGCCATTGATTTGTTTTCCTGGGAAAAATCTAATCGCGTCTCTAAGTTTTGCGTCTCCCTATAGGTATGATAAAACCCGAAGTTTGGTGTAGGTTGTTGAGTCTCAATTTTAAATATCACTTACTACCCCGCTTTGATGAACTGTGTCAAATGTAGCAGTGAGCTTATTTATTTATTAAACGGTGTAGCTTACTTATTTATTAAACGATGTACTTAGGTACTCAATTGAAATTCATCAGCTGGAAGAGTATGTTTTTGCTCTTTCACACATGTTTCTCGACAAGGCATGAATGAAAAATGAAATATTAGAACGCATGAATGAAAAAATAAACTATTTGCATAGTTTTGCGCACTTTTATGGGCTCTTTCACAATTTTCCGGGCTCTTTCACAATTTTCTGGCTTCTTTCCCTCAGAAAGAGCAAAAACATACTCTTAAACAGTTACAACATAGTTGAAGATGGCCTCGGGCATCTTTCAACTATGTTCTAACTACTACAAAGTGACGTAAATAGCACTCTCCATATACGAACGTGGAATTCGCGCAGAAAAAAAACGTGGACGACTTCTAGTTTCGAAAGTGGATTTGTTTTTAGATTTCAACGGAATAAAAATTTTACCTATTGATCGAGTTTTCTCTAGTTCATGTTATAAAAAAGCGCCAATCATAAATCGTTCTAGAAACTCAAAGAGCTTAAAGGGCATCTACTTTTTTCTTTGAAATTCGAAAGCTGAGGTTTCAACTAAGTCATTGTTTTTTTTAATGTTTACTTTCGTTCATTATATACACTAGAAAATGAGTCAGGATAGGCAGTAGCTTGTTTATGGGTAGACGTACGGCCGCCAATGTATATAATTAGATCAGTTGCAAGCATAGAATCTTTCCGATAGATTTACTGGCTGCGGCCGGTTTTTCCACAAACAAACCGGCAAAAAACACCGTTAATTTTAAGATGCTCTTTACTGTTATTTAGCCAAACTTTTTTTTGTTGTATGGGAAGTTTTGACAGTTCGAACTTTTTGATTTCCTCCTAAATCTGTTTAAGAAGAATATATCTAAGAAGACTCCATTGTGACAACAAAATTTTAAAAGAACTCTTGGTTTAGATGAGACAACTAGAAGAGCAGCGAATTGAAACATGGAGGGAAGTGCTGGCGTATAGAGATGACTTCACCTATATATCGCCAGATGCTTCCTTGTACGATGCAGTTAAGATGTTAATTGACAACAGAATACACAGGCTGCCCCTGGTCCATCCGTACACTGGAGACGTGCTCTGCATTCTCACTCACAAACGTCTTCTCAAGTACCTCTATCTATCTGACGCTACCAGACCTCAGTACATGAACAAGTCCATTGCGGAGTTGCGCATTGGCACATTATCAAATATCGTCACCGTACACCCGGATACTTCTGTAATCACAGCGCTCAAACTCTTCATTCAGCACAAAGTGTCAGCTTTTCCAGTGGTCAACCGCGATTCAGGACGCTGCGTAGATATTTATTCCAAGTTTGACGTGATTCACCTTGCCGCAGACAGATCGTACGATAATTTGGACGACTCAATAATGAAGGCGTTAGAGAGAAGGAAAATGAATCAAAGTTCTCAGGGCGAAGAGCAGCAAAGCACTGATGAGAGTGCAATGGAAACGGACAATGCTGATGCTACGGCTGGATGTTCAGTTTACCATTGCAAATTGACTAATTCATTGAATGAAGTTGTTGATTTGATAGCGAAAGCAGAGGTACATAGATTAGTTATTTTGGATGAGGGTTACAAGGTCGTGGGCTTGATTTCATTGTCAGACATCTTGAGCTATCTCATTCTGCAGCACCCCGATACGATTTTGGGAGGCCCGGGGGGACTTCGGATGGGTGGATCGCGTTGCAATTCCCTACCAGGCAGCTCTTCCTCAGTGGAAAGCGTAGAGATGGTTCATAGGCTGTAGTTTCACATGATATCACTGCATAAACTGACTATCATCATGCCCATCTGACCAAACTAACAGACTGAGAATTGTAGTAGTTACACAGAATTGAATTACGCATATTCAAATTTTTAAACAGGTTAATTTTGTATAATTATTATGTTAATCAGTTAAAACTTGGACTTGAAATCCGTATCCAAGATTTATGAATCTTTTCAATTAACTACATACATGTGCGGATTTCTTGTCAATGGAATAATTAAATCTATCTTCTCGTTTTCCTGTATCGAAAATACGTTTTGTAAAATGCAAAGTGCCTAACAAACGGATTAACTTAAAATTTAACTGCTTTATCAGTTTAAAGTGTTAATGAATGAAGTAAGTTTTCATCTGCATTTCTTAAGGCGGTTATTTGAAAGTTATCAGTGGAATCCCCAAATACCTAATTTCATTTTTTTTTTCAAATAATTAGCCTAATTCTCTTTTGACATTAATTATCGCTGTAAAAATAACGATGAATTTCATGATTACTTTTCCAACCTTCTAGTTGTATTCTTTCCTGACATGAGAAGATGACCCGAGTAAAAAAAAGTCAGTATAGCTGGAATTTAGCTTTACAGTATTTGCCTCAAATTTAAATAGCTCTATTGATATCTTGCTGAACTCTGATGGTGCGCGGCTAGCAAAATCAATTAACAATTTATGAATCTAATCAAGTAAAACTTAAAAAGGAAGTTTTTTCTTCAAAAAAAAATAGCTAAATTAAAGTCTTGACAAATATTTAGTCGCTCGAATATTATTCTGCTCGTAACAAAATAGGAATGGTCCAATACTGTATTTCATTAAATCACCGAACAATTGGTAGTTCGGGTCTTATCTGTAATTTACAATAACTAAAGGTTCTTAGCAGCACCGAGTCTCTTTCGCATGTGTTTAATTTCACACTTTTGGCAAAACACGGTTTTGGCAGACAAAAACCTGTCAATCAAGGTCCTTCAAGGCCGTTTTTTGAACTAAATTAATGAGATTGATGTAAAAAAAAACAAAAAATGTTTTAGTGGGGGAATTCGAACCCGGTTTCGAAGGTCAAGTTTGTATTTCTGGTCGGGAAAGTAAGCCGCACGGCCATTGTCTCTCTATTTTAGTACATTTTTGGCTCAACTTAGTGCAGTTAAGTTCCTATTCTACGTTCTTAACTTACTGCCTTTCATAGTTCAAACTTATTCTATGTTACTGTTTGCTCAAAGAGGTGAGATCCGGAGCGAGTTTAACGAGAGGCATTATTAATTGGCCCGATAAGGTATTCACGGTTGCCGAGCGAGCGGCGTTATATTTGCCATAGGGCAGTGCAGTGACTCGACCTAAGGTAGTAGTGCCCACCAGGGCGGCTGCAGGGATCGACGATCCAAACGAAATAACCAGTACGTAAATCACGGTTGGGATCGATCGGCTTGCCATTTCAAGCGCTTGTTCAAAAAAAGAATATACTCCTACAGCCACCGCTATGTTAGCGACGGAAAACTAATCAAGTGCTCGCCTAAGAGGAAATGGTTAGGAGTTAACGCTTCTAATTTAGTTCCATCGGGACTAACTGTGCCAGTGCCCGCGTGTTTATCTCCACTGATCAACAACAGAGGTGAGTTCTTTTCGTTTCACAAACACGGTTTGCGACAAAAACGGGTAATTTATCAACAAGCGTGAAGCCATTGTAACACCGTGGTGTTATCGATCCACCAAAAAGTGCGGTTTACATTAATTGAAAACGCACGTAGTATATCTTCCTTCAAACGAGATGCCAGCAATTTGGCCGGCAATTTCAGCTTCGGACTGGACAAAGCCTTCATTGGTGATACCCATGATTTACCAAGTACGAAGACGAGTTCAGTTTGTTCAGTCTCAATAATCCGGACACGAAGGAAACGAACCGCGCAAAACACATCGTGCGAGCTATCCCCAAACATATGGAGCTCATCTTGATCAAATGGGTTACTAAATTAGTACCGGGGAATGACTATTTTTCCTAGGTCGAACAGACTTGAATGCCCTACATGAATTGTTTCCGAAGCGTTTCTGGCAAAGGATCATCCCATGGTAGCCCAGTTGTGCGCTAAATGTCTTTTAGGAGTAGTAGGAGCGCCCTTGCCATAAAGGGAGCCACCAAACCAATAGAATTTTAGACCGATGAAATAAAACTGAGAACACTTGTCTGAAACATTTGTTCAGAGCTCACGGTTAATTCGACGAATAACAAAAAGAGTTGATTTCGTGGTTCCACTTTAACCCTAAAAATGAGAGTTCAAATGGTCGCCTCCACTCGCAATGTCCGTTTGTTCTGCTTTTACCTCAATCGAGGGGTTTGACTTCTCTTTAATTGCAGGAACATTTCTCACGAACTTTGTGAGACGGAATCCCCCTATTCACCGGATCATTGCTTTTTCTCAGTGCGTCATCGCGATTGTCGAACAAATCCAAAAAATCATTCTTTTAGATACTAGTAAGTACTGCTCGAAATGCTACAGGAAATTTTTCATCGCTATCCCTGGTTGTTTGCTGAGGTGCAAATGAGCGCACGTTGGAGTCCCGAGCACCGAAATAATGCTAGATATACTAAGTAACTTGCACATCCGACGTGGCATCCTCGCACCATTAAAAGCGCAAAGAAGGTTGATCATAAGGGGGTATGCCGACCTGGTGTAACATACCCCCGTTCTCCGCGGAGACGGTAAATTGATGTTGACGGAAGCGCTTAAGCATGGGTAACAGTTTTGTAGCAAGTCAGGCCCAACAAGCAGTGATTTGTTCAGTGATTGGCCGTGAAATTTTGAAGCGCGATGCAAAACCTGGCAATTCTTACCCGACTTGATTGGGTTGATGACAAGATGATGGGGTATATGCCATTCACGGTCGAAGCGAAGCTGCGGATCGTACGGTTTAACCGGAATAACATTAGCTCTATCGAGATCTTCTTTTAATGATGCAGTGTATTTAGTTTTCAAACCACAATATTTGTCGAGCCCTTTTCAAGCGCCTTCGACTGTGCCAGCGCCGATAATTAGTTGTTGGGTAAGGAACTGCTATCATCTGCCTATGACATTTTTACCCAGTGTCGTTCATCATCATAGTATGTTGGTTATTCAAGAAGGTTATGTGATCGCTGATCGGCTGCAGAACGAGCATCAGCTTGTTTGTATGTGCCATAGCTTTCTAACTCGTACCACGCTTTAACTTGACTAACAAGCTCTGCGTCCTCCGCATTGATTTTGAAACAAGTTGACAACAACCCTGGCGATGATGAAAGTAGGCCACTTTATATCCAGTCTACCGGCAGACGGACAGCCATTGGACTTTTCCTATCCTTATCATGAACTTAATCGAGCGGGCGGGTGTGGTTATAAAAGTCTTGAGCAATTACCATTTCGATGTCCGAATAACTTTACCGAACTGGTTTTATTGGTGCTAAGTATGGATACTTTTTTGAAGTGCCGGAGCATCAGTATTTTGACCCACTTTAATTTCGTGTTCCACGTAAGCGGTTACATTTTAAGTTTTATCATTTTTGTTCATATCTGCGGATAGTGCGACCTCAATAAATTGGAAAAGACTTACTGTCCTGTACGGTGGCGGAACAAAACAATGTTGATTTTTCTGCTGAGTTTTTCCATTAGAAAACGTTTTCCTGAAGACTTTAGAAGGAAAGCTGTTTTTTATCTGCGGAAAACTTCGCTCGTTGAGTATGGTTCTTTTCCCTGAAGACTTGCAACCTCATAACGGATTATTACCAGCGTATTGAGTGCAAGGAGGGTATGGAATCTTGTTCAATTTAGCACTTGCTGCAAAACTAGGGTAGTAGTTTTTGCTTTGACGGGTTCCTCGGTTTTTGCTTTACCAGGGAAAGTATTCATAAGCTCATGCGTTTCGGCCTTTCCTCTCTACCAATTTTTCAAATCAAGTAGGTACGGGCAATACCATTTCGCTTGACCCTAAACGACGACCAAGCCTTCTTCATGTTCGGAGGTATTTTACATAATGGTTGATTAAATATGCGGTTCCTTTCAGATGACAACGATCGATCGAAACATGCCAATAAGACTTGAAATCTGACTAACAAAATTAATAATGTTTTTCCGAAACACTGGTTGGAAGCAGTTAAGTCAAACCGCGCTCACGACGATTTGAGATTGTCCAGATTTTGCTCAAGGACTCTCAAGGCATCCCTGGACATCCGACCTGAATACGCGAAGTCTGCTAATGCCAATTTAGCTTTCCCAGTTACCAATGTTTTCAGATACGTTAGCTTGACGTCATCGGAAAGAGTTGACTGCGAATCGAACGCGCTGCGAAACTGACCTATCTATTGATGCCATTCCAACGGATCACCATCTTACTGGGAATATTTCCATTCGAGCAATGATTTCTTCCCATTCGATACCAAGATTCGGGCTCAGTCTAGAACTGTTATCGATTGCGATAGTTGACATAAATTGTGAAAGTTGCTGTACGCAGTATTCAAAAAATACGGCTGATGAACGGAGAAGATAGGAATGTTCGAGTCAATCGGTGATTGCAAGGGTACTTGCTCGTGTGGTGGAGTAAATAGTTAAGTGGTCCGCAGCTATTGAACGGGAAAGTTACAGATTTTGAAGGGCCTCATAAGTGCGATCTTTCAAATAACTTTAACAGGTTACAGACTTTGTCATTGTTGCGGTTAAAGATGATAAGAGTTTCTGGTTGTAGAATTAGCTGAAGTAGACAGAGGGCGGTATCGAGAAAGCTTCAGTATGAGGTGTTAAATTCAAGTACGACAGTCACGAGAAGTTTTCAAAATTAACAGACAAGGTAGGCTCGGCTTTAACCAACTGATTTACAAACGAGAACCGGTAGGGTTGTATCTGATTTTTATTTGACCCATAGTCGCCGATTTTTTCCTCCAGGTACCAATCTTTGTAAGAGATTTTAGATTAATTGGGAGGCGTTCAGTCCCATGCATCGTTGCTGAAGCCAAATCACCTCTCTGGGCGGTACATGCGAAGAAGTCATCCACCTGGGCGTTACACGGAACAGTATCTAATCCAGAAAAATATGCGGTCGGTTTGATTACATTAATGCTTGAGTCAAACTGGGCACTTCCACCCAATTTCAAATAAATCAACGTAGTCGGAATCTTTCTTCAATTCGGATGAAGCTATTTTAAATTAACTTACTTTTTTCTGTTCTCCTCACGGTTTTGTATCTTTGATTTAATGTCTAGCTCTTAAAACTTCAGTTGTAGCAAGCATTTGGTGTTTTTTTGTGTCTCGCGACCGCTTCTGTTCTCAACTTAGCTTACATCAACTCTTTTTCTTTTGACTGGAAGTCATCGAGACTGTTTTATTTGACCTGGTACCCTAGACTGATGTAAACTTGAGGATTTTCGGAAAATTAGAGAGGTTTTTGGAAGTGTTCTTCAGATCCTATATAGTTCCTATAGCTGTCAGATTTATTTCATTGTATCTTTTCGTCACCAGGTCAAGCCGCTTTCCAATTTCTCGGCTATTTGATTTTTGGTCGACTGTTTTTTTTTTTGAAAAAGTTGCTGGCGGCGCAGAAAATAAGGTCAATATAGGGTCTTTATGGTGATATAGGAGAGATCAGAAAATTAATTTGGTCGGCCTAAAAAATGTCGAAAAATTTCAATCCCTCGAGAAATTCCTAGATTCGCGCCTGGCTTTTATGGCAAATTTCCAACAGTTATCTGTAAAAAGTTCTCGTTGTTCAAACATGTCTACGAAACTATGCGTTTTAATTAATTTGATAATTCAAACAGCAAGCGGGTCGATTCCCGATTAGTTGTATAAGCCAAGATAAACAGAACTTTCAAGATATTTTTTTTGCTTCAATCATATCAAACGTTTCATCATATCAAATGTTTCATCAATTGCAGTTAATTTTCAGTGATCTCTATTAAACGCAAATTGTCTTTCTCAGGCGTCTAGGGTTTTGAGTTTTTGTATAACCAATTTCATTTATTTTCTTAGAAGTTTGATATTTTCGAACTCAAAAAATACCTGTTAATTGATTCCGAGCAATAAGTTTATCTGAGTAAAAAGCTCAAAAAATCTTCATAAACATGTGGGATGAATGATTAGCATGTGGGATGAATGAAATTTTAAAAGTGTTTTACGCTGGCGATTAGCAAGCGCTATGAAACCGAAATAGACTTTTGACTTGTTTAAAAAAAATCACTTGAATCTTGGTTCATAATTAATTGAAACTGCGTTCCCGCCAAACGTAGCCTGGAGCTAACGAATACGCGTGTGACGGCAAAGGCCTAGGGTTTGAATCTCACCAGTACCTGTTTTTTTTTCAAACGGGAAATATTGTTTCAAATAAAATTTTCGGCCAATCATTTTTCTGCTTATCTGTTGTCGGCTTATTTGTCACATCTTGAAATCGTTTTTTTTTGCTGCAAACAATTTTCACTGTACTTGCTTTGAGTGACTTAGCAATTTAAAAATCTGGCGCAATCGAAATGTCAGGCAAGTAAAACATGGTACTCATCTGTCAGATTATACTGACTGGCATATGGGAGTAGACATGGGTCTGCCAATACTAGTCGAGATAGAGGGTATCGGAGAAACCCGGGCATGGCCACAATCAGTCAGATTCTGTTTGTTTGTATAATTTAAACTTTGTTTGTATAATTTACGACTTTCGATATAAGTTTTTTGCTGATGATTTTTGCCTTATACCATAATAGCGCTCCGTCGACCGGCATATGTATTAAGAAAGAAAAAGATTTGGTCATGTTTTTTTTTCACACAGTTATGGCCCTCAGAAAGTCAAAATTTTGGTTTTGATTGTTTTTGGACTTCTCTCACTAACTATCCTGCCCAATCTCCTATCATAGATTAAATCAAAACAACAGGTTGTTCAAAGCCAAGTTTTATAATTGCCTATGTCCAGTTTGTTTCAGAAAAATTTCTGGCCTTCAAACATGACAAAGTTTTGACTTTACGCAAAAACTACCGAGCCAATTTCAGGTTTTGGGAATCTTCTCAGCTTAAGCGGCCTCAACTTGAGTTTTGCAGAAAAAATTTAATCAATTTGGAATGTATTTTAACTGTTTTTAGACTTTTTGACAGTTTTTTTAGAAACTTTTTGAATTTTCCTAAACTTTACACAATCAAATCTGAGAGGAAAACTTCAAATGAAAGAACCGGTTGCGATAGTTTTTTGTTAGAGAAATTTCTCCTTGAGAATTTTGATTATCTCAAAAAAAAATTTGTCTCAAAATCTCTTCTCACTCGTTTTAGTAGATCAGCAACAGCTTTTGAGCAAAGCACGATTTGAAAACCAAATTTTTCGTGCCGCAATAGTATATTAGGTTCATTCAATATCAAAAACATACTTCCAGCTTTAGCTGGGCTCCTAGCCAAAAGTTTTGGTTCACCTAGTGTTTAAATTTTTTTCGACTCTAATGTTTTTTTTTTATGTTTGTGTTGTATAGCAAGTGGTGCGAAGATCCGCTTCGCTTCTGAGTTGAAATTGCTTTTGTTTTTCCAAACTTTTTTATATTATTAAATAAATAACTTCAATTATTTTTTAAGAATTAACAAAATGTAGATGGTTACTGTGCCATGATCACAGAATGCGCCAACCACTTATCATCACCGAAAAAAAATTAACTAAAACGAAATTTTTTGATCGGGTTGAGTTTTCCGCAATTTATAGAATGCTTATAAGCAGATCTAGCAGCCAATTAGTAGTTCCTAAAATACAAATTAAAAATAGTTTGTTCTGTGAAAGAAAGCGCAATACCGTCCTCTTTTCGCTAAGTTATAAATCTTTTCGGGCGTTAATATGATAGCACAGGTAAGTAGTTACGACTGTTCTGTGAGCTCATACACATTTTGAGGGGGAAGCTCAAGCCTAGGATCTCTATAGTGTTTTGAGGCTCCCCATAGTGTTTTAAGAGAGCTCAGGAGATCAGTTTGGTCGACACAATTTTCAATTTTTGAACACTCGCCCCTCCCCTGCGCTCGAGAGAACCCCTTATCCGCGCCGGTAAGAAAACATCTTGTCCTTCCCCTACGCTCGAGAAAACGCCTTATCCGAGTGTTATTCATCTGGAGATTGTTAGTTTTATCCATCTGTCGGAATAGCTTCAAATTCTTTATCTTTCAAAAGAACTTTGAGGTCAAACATTTTGAATTTACTTATCCATGTTTTTAATCTAAAAATATGGTCGAAGTTGAGAAGATTTGCTGTGGTTGATTTTTGTATCAATTTTTGGTTTGTGGGAAAGAGGGAATCACAGTGGTTGTTGTTTGAAAAGATTAAAAGGGAGGTTGCGTGTGGTAAATAGTCTACCTTGTATGAAGTTACCCTCTCACTAGTCACAGTTCAAATTGGCTCTCATGACTTAACCCTGTTTATCGATCTGCTGTTACGGGGACTTTAAACAAAGTTGTGCTGTAATACCTTCCTTGTGTGAGATCGAACAGCAAATCAGTCAAACTTCTGTTGCTGCACTGGCCTGTTTGTTGAATAATATCCATTTGACTACTAAGACTTCAGGTTTTTGGGATACAAACACGCCAAATGGCCTGTTGCATACATTTCAAGTTGAGTGGTACTTTTCGCTTGATTGGTCCCGGGGATGTTAGCGCCTCTGGAACGTGTTATATTTGAGTAAACAACTTCCACACTTACACTTGCCTGCTCGTTTATTTGGTGTTTTGAGAAACTTGATTGTAGCAAAAAGTATGGTGTCTTCTGTTCTTATTACCAGTTTACAGCTTCTTAACTTAAATAATTAAAGATATTCTTTTCTCCCCTTTGAGCGACACGCTTTTTAGGAGCGGCTTTTGAATGGTGTACCGTGATAAACCAAAAGGTGTTGAATCTGATAATGAGGTCCAAATGCAATATTCTGTATTATTGTCCATAATAGTGGAGCATATTTGGATTAATTGCGGCCTAAGGACACCCACTCACCCAAATGTCATTGCCCATTCGTATATGCCAAACAATTTTTCCCATAGAACTCGAAGACACAGCCGCTGAAGTAATTGTTGGGGCGGCAGTGATCTGATCTAAATCACTGCTAAATGTTTTAATCCCGCACTATAAACACAGTTACGAGTCGGCCAAAATCAACACTACCAATCAAATCCAATTTGACTTGATATTCACAACGAGTTTCCTGCCGTCTCAGAGGCTTGTGAGGTTTACGGCGCTTCACCTCGATTAACTAAAAGTATCAGTCGAATTCATAAACTTAATCCTATTCTATACCTTGACCAATATTGTGAACTATTGAATTATCTGATCCTTGTCTGATCTGCTTTCAACTTACTTCGTATATTTTATTCCTTTATACTTGTAATGCTTTGTTGTCCCCTTTCGTGTGGCAATGAGGCGGCTATGGGCACTGGAGGCTGCTGTCATGTCCATATAAGGAAACCCCACGTGCACCCTCCTCACCCACACATAAAGACAAGACACCACAGTCACCACCATCACGCCACGGTAAGAAAAAGCAGACAATCTTCAATGGAGAAGAATCAATTTCATTTACAAATATATACGCAAGCATCAGATTTGCTGCAATGAATATTGAGTAGGGGCATTCATTTAATAACCTCTATCATCAATCAGAGTAGTTTATAAAATATCAAGGTCAGTCAAGTTTTAAGAATCCGGGCCGAGGTGCTTGTCTTACTTTTTGACTCAGAGTAGGTGCAGTTTTGTCGATTAGGTGCCGTTTTGAGACCTAAAGATTGCAGTCGAGATGCAAATTTTAGATCGAGCACTAAGTCAAAACAAAATCGATTCGAAGCACGCCTCGGCAAGGGAAAGACTCAAAGGTCGGCTATTTCCAGCATCCTACTTACGAAAAACTGAAGGGCATCCTAGTTAAGAAAAAAACTATGGTAAATTTTTGAATTTGGAGCTATAAAATTCTGAGCGGATTATCTTAGGAAAGATTTCAGAAATTAGCTAGCAAGCGTATAATCAAACTATTTTTGTTGCAAAATATGTTTTTCTGGAATCAGTAAATGTTGAAAAATATTTTAAGCGAGACGTTAGAAGTTGAAGCTTGTTAACAAAACCCAATTATGTGTAATTTTCACAGCCGAAAGAAAAGCTGTAAAACTTTATAACCTTCAACTTAAAACCTTATCGTCAATTTGTGGGGGCCAGTGCTTTTAAGTTTTATTAGACTGTGTACGAGGACCGCAAATATATCCCGGTTGTAAAATCATTAGTCAGCATGCGAATTTCATCCAAGTTGTACAAGTGGAGAATCGATTAGCTCAGACTTTTGTCACTGCTAATCACAAGAAAAATTTTACGACGAAAAAATTAGATAACCATTAAATAAACTACCAGTGCAAATCGGAATTCAAGCTTTTTGTCTTCAATCATGCGCGATTGGTATCGAAACGCATTTAATTTTTGCAATAATTGGAACAGATTTCAATCACTCCATCAAGAAGGAAACAAAAGCAAACCAAAAGACGGGACAACTTACAGGCCTTTTTGTGCGAAAACCGCTATCAAAAGCTTTCGATTGCTTGTTTTTGAAACAAATTATGGAGAATCTGACCTGAAGTTTGATATCATAGGTCCTCACTCACTTCAGATTTTAGTGAAACAAATCTGTGACAGATGCAGTCGTCAGATTTGCCAACATTGTTAAAACATGGAGCAATCAGTAAAAACTAATTCACTTTTCAGATATTGCTATAAAGACCATAGAAAATGTTCAAGATTCATTTGCCAAACACGGAAAGGCTCAAACATGGCATACCACAAGGTACTGATTTAGTACTATTGGTTTTCAATCTCAAAGTAATTGATTTAAAAAATAAAATCAACTAACAATAATTTAGTGTAATATACTATAAATACAGCTATCTTATGTACCAGAATTTCGATGTTAGACTTAAGAACGTAAAAAAATACAGCAACTGGAAAAGTATGTTAACTTGTTTTCAGTGTTAATAAAACAGAACTCATTGTTTGTTTTTGGGGAACAATACTTATGAAATTTTTGTTATCAGAAAATACAAGTTTTTGCAATGCAACATGTAAAGTATCTTGGAGTTTGTATAGTGATAAATCTACTTTTTTAGCTCAATTAAGTAAATGGTCAAGAAACTTGCTGTTGAAAATAAATTAACTTTTTGCGTGCGACGTTTGGAATCTTTAACAAAAGATTTATGCTTTTGGATGTTGAGATTTTTATCATTGATTTTTGTTCCAAGAGTATTCATGACATGAAATAACGAATTAAAAAGAAAAATAATTGGGATTTAAAATTGTGCGATCTTCTCTGAAAATTTGATCCTACGCGACATCTACTTCTTAAGTCTTAGGTTTTACCAGCCAAACTTTTCTTTGCTCAACATTATAACGATAATGGGCAATGAGGGCAAAAAAATAAAGGAAATTGCTAAGAGCGTATATGTAGCGAAGTAAAAGTGAAAATGAAGGAACGTTTGAAAAATTTACTTCTTTTTGGGAAAAAAGTTGTTGCAAATTAAAGTTTTTTTGAACATAAGTTGAAAAGTTAAGCTGATGAACTTTGAAAATGAAAACAAAAAACGTATATTTAAAACTGAAAAGTTTCTGCTAGACAAGCATAAACAATCTCGCGTTGTTAGCATTGGTTTGCATTGGTTTTTTCAAGCTTATTTTTCTTTTCAGTAAAATTATTGATTCGTTCATTTTTATGCTGAATTGTAGTTAGTATAAATGCATGCCGGTGAGATGGTTGATTTTTAATCTCTATTGATATTTTCATTTGGCAACAATAAGACTATTAATCAAGTGGTTATTTTGCATAGAAAACCTAGCAAAAAATTCTAAGACTTAAATGCAAAATAACGTGAATGCGAGGAGAGAAAAAAAGCCAAATCATTCCCGCAACTAAGTTTCATGGGTAATAATCGATTATAATGGATTTTCGTTGATTAAAATGTTGTTCATATGATCGATTATCATATCAAATTTAGACCACGTAATCAATTGTTAATCGATTATTTTGGAAAACTTTGAATCCATTATAATGGATTATAATCCATTTTTGTTTTCAATTTAATAAATTATTTTTTGTACATAAAATCGATAAAAATGGATGATGTTTTGTAAATAATGACTCTAATTTTTGCAACTTTCTGCAAAACTCGAACGAACACGTTCATCCAGGGGCGGCCAATATGTAGTAAATTTCCAAAAAGTGCCCAAAAACAGCATTTTTGACCAGCTCCTTACGTACCCCCCCCCCACCAACGTACCACCCCATCTCCCAACGTACCTCACCCCCCAACGTACACCCCCCCGTCATGTACCCCCATTCCCCCAACCCACGACGTACCCCCCTCACGTACCCCCATTCCCCCAACTTACCCCCCCCCCCACCCAACGTATCCACCAACCACCCCCCCCCCCCCCCCCAACGTATCCACCACCACCCCCAACCCACGACGCACCCCCTCACATACCCCAACGTCCAACGTACCCCCCCCCCCCCAACGTATCCACACCCCCCCCCCTAACGTACCCCCAACCACGACGTCCATACGTTAATCCATACGGCAGTTGTCGAATAGATGCAAAGAGGTCACCGACAATCAATCCGCTTGACTTACAAAATTGGCCACTGCGAACAGCGTACCCGGACATTCGGAGTGGGAAGCAAATTGCATTATATTGCATCTATTCATCATATTGCATCTACTATTCACCAATATTCATTCCGCTCATCTTCGTTCTTTAAAAAAAAAAACGGCGTTGGTGTGATTTGAACCCCGGACCTCTCGACCGAAGGACAGACGCGCTACCAACTGAACTACATCGCTCAGCCAAAATGAATCCTAATTGCAACACATGCAACCATACGCTAGCGGACGGAGTTGAACTGTTTGTTTGTTTGACTTGTGGAAATTCAATGCACTGACCCTGAAATGCACTGGGTTCTCAGAAACATTACTAAAAGAGTTAAGAGAAGTAAGAAACAACGTCCTCCTGATGTGTAATCAATGCTCTAGCAATGGCAAACGAGACTTGGTTATTTCTTTGGTTTCCAGGCAATCTTCTGCTGTAGAAGCAATTCAAAAACAAATGGAAAAAGCTGAAAACTCTCTCAAAACGCAAACCGAAGTTGAACTGAAGAAATTTTCTGAGGTCCTTACCAACACCCTCGCCACTAGCGCAGCCCCACACCCTGTGGTGGCTGCGACAAAGCAAAACGTACAGAAAGAATCTACTGGCAACGCACTCAATGGTATCCGAATAAGAGGAATTCCTGAATTGGTCAACAGAGATCCCGCCTTGCGCTTCAAGGCGGATCAAGTAGAAGTGAACAAAATCTTTTCGCACCTGGGTCTGGCATGCCAAGCAACAGATATCAAGAGAATGGGCAATCATATTAAAGGCAAAGATCGAACCATAATGGCGAGAGTAAACAATGCTTGCGACCGAAGACTCATCTTTCTTTCTTTATCGAAACTTAAGCATTACGACAAAAAAGTGTTTGTGTCTCCCGAACTAACAACAAGTGAATTTGAAAAAGAGAACCTCCTGCTGCAGCAACGGCGAGTATTGATCAATGGGGGCGCAGAGCCCAGTAGCATCAGACTGAGAAACCTAGTGCTAGAAAAGAAAATAAACAAAGTTTGGACCATTCTGCCTGCTCCTACCGCAAACACTGAGTCCGAATCAGAATCCAAATGACTAAACAATGCCTCAATGTCCGTTCTTGTATACAATGCTCGAAGTTTGTTGGACATTAAGCGAAGAATGGCTTTCGCCAACACCTCAACCAGTTCAGACTTTCATATTCTTTGTATAACTGAGACCTGGCTAACTAGTCACGTGCCTAACAGCGCCTTATTTCTCACTGACTTTACTATCTATAGAACGGACCGAGCGCATACTGCCAACAGTTCCTTCAAGCATGGTGGCGTTTTGTTGGCTATCCGACACCTCTACTCGTCGACTCATCTCGACACATCAGATATTCCTGATTGCGTTGCCTCACTGGTACAGTCCTCACCTACAACCAGTCCACTACTGTTCTGTTGTGTCTATTCAGCTTCTGACGGGAGCTCCCATAGACTCAACGTGAGCACTTTCAAACACCTCCTGCTACTACTGCAACACCACAAAATGGAACACAACTGCGGGCACGTTATCATTGCTGGCGATATAAACCTGAAACATACCGATTGGTCAACCATGGTCTCAACAGACGCATACGAATCCGAGCTCCTGGAACTCTTGGTTCAATTCAGCTATCAACAAACTTTGGCAAACAACTCCTGCATGCTGGATGTCTTCCTCATCAACGATACCTCGCCTATAATCCATACGAAAGTTGACGAAGCCTTCGGAATCGCACACTCAGTAGATTTCAAGAAGTGCTCCGACCATCAGCCGTACTCAATCCTCTTACAAGTTCAATATGCTCCTCCAAAGCCACCATCCCGTCAACTAATCGATCTGGGCGTCAACGTGTTCTC